CTCATGCTCATCTGCCCTTTCTCTAGTCCTGATGACTGATGTATATTCCTGAGCTTATAATTCAAGCCAGATATATGAAAAGTGACCACAGATTTAGAGTGACTCAAGTTTTACCAGTTTGGGACATCTCTATCCTGATTTTCAGAAGGCTCCAGTTAAAATCATGGCAACTGTGTACTCCTGGGGCTGAACGTATTTCAAGTTGGAAGCACAAAAATCAAGACAGCTTCAATCAGAGGCTTTTAAAAATCCTTTGGCCTTGGTGTATGAGTTGGTGGTAGATGCAAGCAGGTCCCAGTGCAAGCTGAATGAAAGCCAGATGAGTTAAACCTTTGGCTTAACTGTAAGGCCACTGGTCACACAGCCCAGGATTCACCTGTCCCCACTGGTGCCATGACAGCACAGCTGTAATGAAAGTCAGACATGCATGCAGAATGGCTCCAGCTTCCGTCATCTCAGGAGCACTTTCCTTGTGGTGCACCTTATTTAGCTGGGGTGGGAGTACTGTCATTTCAAGTTTTGATTCCTCTTGGACATGAAAACTCCAAAGACTTAGGAAAAATATGCCTTCAAATGCTGAAATAGATTGGGCTGACTGTGATGCTACTAGCAGATTTATAAGTCTACATTTGAAGGACCATCTAAAACATAAGTTTAATTATCTAAGAATTAATAGGACCTTAGTTCAGCAAAACAGTTACTGTTGCATTCATCCTCTGCTGTACAAATGTCCTATTTTATTTCAATTAAGTATATGCTTAATTTGCTACATCTTTCATTTAAATCACTGTCACATGCTGCATTGATTTAAAAAATAGCTGTGACACTGTAAAATCAATTTGTTATGGGTAGTCAATGTAGGGGGATGATAATATGATCACAGTGATGGCATCATGCCCAAACAGTGAACAGCAGACATGCTTGCCTAGATGCTCTACAGTAGTTGAGTTTGGGGTACTGCTGTCCTGGGGTGATACTCAAATTATTGCTGTGTGCTCATCCCAGTAAAATGGCTAAGAATTGCCATTATCCAAGGTAAAAAAGTCCGCATAGAATTAATTTAATTTCTACTTTCCTCTGTAAATTCTTCTGTAATTATCCTTTAAAAAGTCTCTCATATCTGTTCCTCAGCACTGGTGAGACTCAGGATATCAGGTCCCTAGGTCCCTGCACGAAGATGAGTGTCTGGAAGTTGATTTTCTCTGCTGCTGTTATCAGCAAAAGCTCCTCCCTCTGCAGTGCCCACCTGCTTCTGTTTGTTATAGCCACTGCAGATCTCCGTGGAAGGAGTGAGGGTCAACCTGAAAGGAACATATGTCCTAACGGAGCCACGAAAGCTCTGCAGGTACTAATTGCAGTGGTGTCTGATTCTCTGTGTACAAGGGGTACATGGTGCCATTTCTCTGCTCATCCCCATGAAATGGTTGGATCATCTCAGTCTAATTGCTGCTACTCAATGGAGACTGGATGCTGTGAAGGATCACAGGGTGACTTGCTGGATGCACACATCTACAGAGAAGTGAATCGATCAAAGGAGAACCACTGAACTACTAAACACTACTGAATATCCTTCTGTATCTGGTCACTGTGAAACAAGTCTGCTTCATAGGACATAAACCCTATGTTCAAGTTTCTGAGTAATTGGAAATGTTGCACTTTTCTGTGGTTTAGCAGAAAAAAGCTACCGTGGACACCAAAAGATTGCCTTGGTTTTCTTTGTGCAATGCTCCTAAAGCTCTACTGCTGCAATATTTGTCATTTCTTAGCAACTCAGGGAAGGATGCAGGAAATGTTGTGGTATGAACAGCAAGGTTGGTAACTGCAGACACTGCAATTGCAGCAAGCCTAGTTCTTCAGTACATGGAACTTCAAGACAAGACAGTAAAAGGGGTGATGATAAGGCAGAGATAAAAGGGAGGATTGTCTTATGTAGGATAAATTGGGTTTAGCTATAAAGATAGCAACAACTTCACCTGTATTATTATTCTGCTACTTTGTTAGTTCATAGATTTCTCATCCAATTTAAAAGGGAAATGTGAAAAGCCCAAAGACTTGAATGAATCCTGCTGTCCCTTAAACCAGAAAATGCTAAATGAAGTAGGAAGCTGATCTTGGAGAGCAATCTGCTTAGATGAGTACAATCTAAAAGTGGAATAATCCCTGAGGTCTCTCATTTTGCTTGCTATAATTTGGGCAGAAAGCAATCACGTGTGAATTTTTCAGAGCTATAATGCGCAAGTGGTTCTGTCCTTCTGCCTGCAGTGGCAGTGAAGGTGGCTGTTCTGCTGTTCAGCAAAAGAGTGGGAGGTACAGAAGCTCTTTCAAAAACTCTACATTGCTGCTGAATATTTCTGAAATTGTTTTAGGATGATGGATAATTCTGAATACTTCCTCACAGCAGCATCTATGAAGAGGTAGAAATTGGAGAAATGTCTTCTGATTGTCCTGAGAGATAAGCTTCTTTTTCCTGTGTGTAAATGCGTATGGTTGGACAAGTCCTCACTAATACCTGAGGAGGATTCATTATAACTGGTTTTAATCCTTCCTGAGGCAGGAGGAAAAAGGTTAATTGCCTGGTGAGAGGCATTTAACTGGACTACAGACTGCTCAGAGCAATGGGGGAGGGAGGAATGGTCAGAATGGTCAGAATGGTCAGAATGAGAAGATGGGCTGATATTTCACAGCTCTATTGTTCTTAGTCTGCTTATTATAGCCACTGATAACAGCAAGGTTGTGCTGAGCAGTTTGTAGAAACAATAGAAGGATGTTTTCCTTTCCCTCTGCTCCATCTCTGCAGCATGTGCAGCTGGGAAAGTCTCAAGTGAGGTGAGGTGGCTTTGGTAAAACTTTGCCAAAGTGTGTGTGTGGAAAACGAAGTGTTTTTAATCAGGGTGTGCCTCCTTGTGATATCACTTCAGTTCTCTCTTTTGAGATGAGGAGAACACCAAAGAGTTGGAAGTAAATCTCCATCTCCTTCAGGGAGACAGTAATGGACAGAATATTTCATTGGCGGTTCCTCTCTATGTCATTATTGAGAAACCTCTTGGGACATTAATATCGGGAAAGAGTGAGATGGTCTCATAACTGCTTTCCAGTCTCAAGAGCACATTAGTTGCTTTTAAGAATGTGCTAGGCATTAAGTAGATATCACCAAGAAATAAGAATACATTAGATTAATTAGGCACTATTCAGCAAACGTAAGGTAGGGAATTGCTCTGAATGTCTCTCTCTCTGACTCTCACTCTGACTCATAGAATACAGTGTATTCTCATGCACTGTACTTTGGTAGGGAGCTGTTTTCCTTTCACACAGGTAGTAGAGCACTGCCACTGCAGTTTTAAAGGAGCAACTGATAGTTGGAAAACTGTAATTAATCTGAAGAATATAGTCAATATCAGCAGGCTGATGCTGTTTTAGAAGTTAAGTGAATAAGTGAATAATGTGAAACTTTCCAGCACGCAAAACTATTGTCTGAAGTTACTTATAAAAGTCTGTCTTAGGTTACATAAAGACAACTTTTTTTTTTTTTTTATTCTTTTCGAGGAAGGAAATATTTTGCCATTATCTTTTGGATTCTGGAGCATAGCAGAACTGCTTAACTCCTGAGAATTTATTTGGATAAGGATTGATAAGCATTTCTTTTCATTCTGTATCCTTCAAATCAGGTTCTTGCCCCCTTTATTTAATTGTAATTTTATTGTTATTGCTGTGTTTGTTGATAGACAACTCTGGTTCTATGAATTTAATAATTGCTGCTGTTACGCTTTCCCTTTCTGTAACATTCTTAGTCCACCGCTGCCAATTTAGTGGACCATCTTAAATCAATGTGGTGAGGCTCAGTCTTACAAAGTAATCATCTTCTCTTAGCTTTTTTAATCCCTTCTTATTATGAGTTCCAGAGGCTGCTAAAGGCTTAGACTGGAGCTGTGCCACAACCAGCACATAATTCTGTTGGGCCAGCAGTGCTCACTGTGTTTACAGTCTAAATAGGTAAAACCAAAAATGAAAAAGAAAACAGATACCCTATCATTACAGAACTTGACCAAGGTCACAGAGCAGAGGCAGAGCTGTTAGTTGAGTGCCCCAATTCCCCAGTGACCAGCGATGCCCCTGCCAAACACGAGTGTGATGGTCACTGCTCTGTTGCTGCTTGGGAGCTTTGATACATGTAGGTGCATACTTGTCTGAGTATCCTCAGGATGTGTAAGACTGAATTTCTCAAGTCCGATGGAGAAGACAACGCATGATTATTTCCCACTAGATCTGGAGGTGTAGCAGAGCAGTCAAGAGTGGAACAGCTGTGACTCCATTGAGAAACAAAGAACTCACAAGAGAGACAACAGGGTGCCTGGGTTTTGCTTACAGATCCTCCAGAGGAGCTATATGGCGAGATGTGTTCTGGTTTAATACAGATATCTGTTTTTGTGGAAGATAGGAAGGAATCTGTAGCCCTTGTGGTAAATGGAAAGACCTGCTCCAACTGAGGGAGAACATCACCAAGGCAGTGTTACTTTTTCTTCCATTTCTGATATAGAGTTTGAGGGTCCCGATGGCATTAGTAACAAGCTGTAAATAAAGACCGTAGCAGAGTTATGCTGCAGTCACGGCCCCTCTTTCCACAGAAACGAACACGCAGTCACAGCCAGCCTTTCTTCTAGCACGCTTTTTTTATGCTGAATTGCGACTTCCCGTTCGGAAGCCAATTTTTACAGAGAGTGTCCAGCAGGAGGAGCTCTTTCTCCATTTCTCTTCTCCGCGCTCAGCCCGCTGTTCCCCGTACCCCGCGTTGCTTTGTGGGCTCTGCGCTTCCCTGGGCGGTGAATCCAGGGGATCCGTCCAGGGTACGAACGAAACACCGATTCTAGGGAATCTCTGCTACTACCGCTACCGGGCGCACAGCCCACGGGCCGCTGCCCCAGCACTGTCAGTCCCGACATGCCCCGCGCGCCGCCGGCCGTCAGGGCTGCGCGCCATCGCAGGGAGCGCAGCCAATGGCGCGCGCGGGCCTCGCCGGGCGACTCCGCCTCAGCGCGGCGGCCGCGGGGGGACTTTGAAAAGTTGCGAGCCGGGGCCCGGCGCTGTCGGACGCCTCGGGCTTGTGGTGTGGTTGCGTGCCGGCGCGGCTCGCTCCGGCAGGGCCGAGCCTCCGGTTGCCGCTGGAGCTCGGGTGTCGGAGGGCGTAAAGCCGCGTTAGGCGCTCCAGATGAGGCGGTAGTTTCAGGCTCTCCTGCGGCACCCGTGTCGTTCGGTGTAAGTCCGTACCGCTCCGTATGGTGGGGTTTCTCCCGGCCCGGGCGCCATCTGCGTGGCCGCCTGTTGCCCTCAAGCGGGGGCTGCGATGCACGGCTGGGTGCGGCCGTCCCTGTAAGGGCTGTTAGCGGGGCTCCCCCGGCGCTCGGCCTTCCGCCTCTGCTCCGAAGGGGGCTGTGGAGGGCGGGCGCCTTGTCTCCATCTCGCGAACGAGCGAAGGTCTGCGAGTCTGCAAAGATGTAGGCGGTGTAGGCTGCTTAGAAAGCTTTTGGTTTCGCGTGAACTTCTGTGTGAACGAGTAGTAGGAATATCGCCTAATAAATATGTGTAGGATGTACTTGAAAGCCTGCTGGCGGAGTTGAGTGCAACCACGTGTGGCTCTGCTAGCAGGATGGTACAACTCTCCCCTCAGAAAATGCACACGGCTGGGGGTCAGGGAGGCTTCACAGAGCAAACACAATCGCATAAGTTAGTCCTTAAGGCTTATCCAAACTAAGCTACTCTTTAAAAAGAAGTCTCAAAACAATAAATAAACCTGAAGTGGCTTGTCTACATCACAATACCTCATTCCAGTGATGCGGGTTGTTTTCTTGGGTTTTTTTTCTTCGCTGTTTTTAATTCAGTAATATTTACATTGTAGTTCCAGAGTTCACAAACTTAGCTTTGACCTCTAGTTTCTTTTATGCCATTGGTTAAGTAGAAGAGCCCCCTTTTAAGCAGTATTTTCTATAAACTTACCTAGAAGGTTATGAAATGGCTCTGAACAGTTTGTCTGTCTTGAATCTTGCATGCTAAAGCGTGTTTCCAAACCTCTGGTTATTCTTTTGCCTCCATCCTGCATCCTTCCCATCCTTTGACATCTCTGTTGCATACCTGGTCACCACAAGTGTGTTGTATTTTAGCAGTTCTAGGTCTAAGTAAATCCTGTCATTATTGTTCAATTTTAGCACCTTGGGAGAATCTTCTTTCCTTCTGGTGCCATTTAGCACAAGGAATTCCTTTTCAACTCATTGCTGAGTGGTTTTGGGCTTGCTTTTTTCTCAGAAATCCGTGTCATACAAGCAAGCACTGTGGTTTCTTTGTTCTTATTGCTGTGATCTCCTAATGATCAAATATTAGGAGATGTAATTAAACAGAACTGTTTTCTCTGTGGTAAGATTATTTTCTTGTGACTTAGGCTTTCTATACATGTATATCTTCTTTCCTACTCTTTAGTGAGGAAAGGGTGTAATTGTTTGCACAGGCGTGTTCCAAGCAGCCTTCAAAAACTGTTTTATTTGCCTTGTAGACCAAGTGAGTATGGCTGCTAAGAAGCTGAGAAGAGCAAAGTTGTCTCAGGAGCTGTGTGAAAGACTAAGCCGCTATCAGATCACTACCTGCCAGGTTAAAGGGTTTCTCTATGGCTTTGGATTATTGAATTTCTATGTTTAATTTACATGAAACTATACCATCTAATAAAATTTCTGGCTCAGTCTGCTTACCTTGTAAAAATGTTGCTTTAAGATGAGGGATAGCTAGGGCATTTAAATGTTGGATATACTTAGTATCTTTCCTTCTGGAAAAAAAAAAAAAAATATTTTAAGAGAGGTGTGTAGCTACTTCCCGTATGAAGTCAGCCTGCATGATCCCTCTGCAAAAACACATGTACATTACATAATCTAGCATCTATGAATGTGTTATGAAGCTATTCTATCAGTTATGGGTTGATTCGTCAATAAACTCAGAAGTTATTGTGTATGTTTCTTTAAAGAGAGGAGAGACTCTGTGCATTTCAACAGCACGTATGGTAGATGCAAGATCTATTCCTAGAATTACAACCTAAAAAGTGCAATGCAATTTGAATGTTTTTTGGGTAGACACCTCTGTGGGGGGAAAAAAGATGATAACTCATTAGAACTTCATCACAGTACTTACATTTTTAGTTTATGCTTTGTCTTTTAAAATATAAATACAATTTCTTCTGTGATAACCTTATGATCTTTGAGGTCCCTTCCAACCCAAACCGTTCTATCACTGTCTTATTGGCATAAGAGAAGGGTAAAAGAGGTATGAGAAAATACTACGTAACGTGGCACAGTTGGTAAATCTGGCCTTTGGAATGTATCCTAGTAATGTATAAATTGTATTAGTTTAGTCCTTAGTCTTGATCTCCCGGTTAAGCTCTCTGAACTGTTTTATCTTCTTTCAGGACTTCTTATGTCTTTCACTCTTGGAGCTAATGAAAGTGACAGGACAGAGTTACAGAAATGTGCAGAAGCTTCTTCGGAAGGTCAGCCTCGCTTGTGCTCCCAAAATGCAGACAGTAAGTATGCTTGTGTTGGTTATATTTTTAACTTTTTGTTTGAGAAAAAGCTAAACAGTTTTGCTTGTGTATTTATCAGAGAGTGGGGTAATCTAGCTTTGTGGTGTCTCAGTTTGATTGTATAATGAGATAATAGTTTTATGTCTAAATTTAGATCCATGAGTGACTTCAGTTTGAGACGGCTGCTTCTATTAGACATTTCAGCTTAAGGAGATTGTTTAGTCTTACAGAATTGGTCCTGAGTCCCATAGGGTAGTTTACCATTCTCTCTTACATTCCAGTGTATAAAAATTGCTTCATTTAAAGGAAGCATTTACTAATGGAAGCATGGAATAAGAATCACTGAATGAAGTCTTAGAGTCTGTGTTATTCAGGAAAATGAGACTGGAAGATTGTTTAATGTAGAAAAGAAAAAAAAATACACACACATATATATTTATATAAATATAGCTTTGCAAATCCTCCTTCATCAGTGTCTGTATTCACTCTTGAGTGCTTCAGAACATAAACTCTTAATGAGGTAAAATGTATTATTTGTTTTGGCATGTTCTGTGTCTTGAAAGCTATATTATTGTATTTGTCTTTAATAGAATAACAGCATGTATGGAAGATTTTGGAGTATTATCTAATGTGCTCACTCATAAAATAAAAATTCAGGCTGTTCTACTCTGCTGGTAGAACTAGCTGAGAATTCTTCGGATGAATGTTGTAGAAAAATTGCTCACTCTTTACTCAACAAGTGCGGACTAAAACATCTATGATTCAGTGGCATGGTGGTTTGTTGATGATTCCTGTGGAGATGCACCACAGTGCACTGTATTTCTAGCCGGCTGATGACATCATTGGGTTAAAACTGATGCTAGTATTTCTCTTGGGGATAGAGAAGCCTCTTGGAATTTTAGGGACTGAAAGCAAGCCTCACAGAATAGGAGTACTTTTGAAACATTGTTACAAAACTTAATGTTTAATGTTGTGGTGAATGAGGCACAAGAAACAAACTTACTCTGTGAATTGTAAATAGGATATAAGTCTAAAGAAGGCTAATGGGATGGGATAGGGAGGAGAGGACACTGTAACTGAAAATTGGAATGGTTAGCTTACTTGCAAGTACTGAATCAATCTAGGCTGATGAAAGCAAATGTGCGAATTTCACAGCCTGAACCACTGATTGAGCACCTGGGGATAGGACCCCGTCAGCCCTGGGAGCACAGGTGAAGGCAATTCAGCTGTGACCAGAAGGGGTGGAACCTGGTTGCACCTCTCTTAGACTCCATTTCAGGGCTGAGTGCCACTGGGGTAAGGATCTCTTTCTGGAGATCTCTCCTCTGTGGAGTCTTTCCTGTGAACCTATATCTTTGGATACAGGTGAGCATTCCTTCTCTGTTTGTTCCTTTTCCCATTTTCATCATGGTAATCTTTCCAGCTGTAACACCATCAAAAAAAGCATCTTATAACCTGTGTTTTTTTATTTTTTATTTTTTTATTTTTTTATTTTTTTTCCCCCCTGTTGTAGGCTTATGAAATGAAAATGAGGAGGGCTGTCAATCCCTCTGTAGCCTTTTTACCCACCTCACTGCATAGTCTGGATAAAGTCTTGCATGGTGGAATACCTTGTGGATCCCTCACAGAGGTAACTTCTTAATGTATTTTAATGCAGTTGCACACCACACCTAAAAATCACAAGTCACTGGTTGGCCTGTCTTGTATCAGACCATTTAAACACACAATGAACAAACAAATTTGCATGAGAAGCACTTTTCGGGGTATTTCTTCTGCAGCCTGTCAAGTAAGTAAGTAAATGGAAACAAATAGGTGATTTGGTGACTCTATTTTCTTATGAAAAAGATGCTAAATTTTCCCAGGAAGACTGGGAGAATTGTTGTTTGGATTTTATGGTGAGAAGGGTACAGTGTGGTTTAGTGGTCAGAACATGAGGTGCTGAGTCAGAAGCCCATCTGTTTAGTACCTTCTTACTGATTTACTAAGTCTTCAGGTGTTGGGAAGGAGAAACAAGCAATTAAAACAAAAATGTGAAGGATACAGGAGTAGAAATTATAGATTTTTATGTGTAAATGTAACTGATTTTCACAATAAATATGTAATGAGTAATTTTTTTGAAAAGATGTTGCAATTAAGGCTTGTATCATATGTGTATCTATTATATAACACTACAAGTAGCATATTTACAGCTATTACTGTCACTGCCTTTGAATGCAGTGCTACTTTTTTTTTTTTTTTGCTTGGCATTGTCCTTTAAGAATAAAGTAGTGTTTCATCATTTAGTACTTGAAAGCTGTATGGCCTTGCTTGTACAGTTTCTATAATCCAGAAATGCAGAATTTACTTAAATGCTTGTGGGGGACATTGAGTTTTATAAAACTGGACCTGGTCTCTGGCTTAGGAAGTTTCTCAGCCACAGATGAAGGTAGAGAAATGTATTTTTTGGAGGAAGTGTCTATGTATGCCCTGTTCTTACTGTGTTTTCTAGCTATTTGTTGTAGGCCTTTGTTAGAGACAGAATCCGGAGCTGGGTGGACATTGTTACTCTGCAGCGTGGTCATACTTGCCTTCTCAGAGTGGAGTTCTGAATAGACATGTCTCCTATGCTCTAAATTCAAATAGATTGAAATACCTTTTCCTTGAACACTTTAATAGTTTCTCTAAAGTGGTTTTCTTTGTCAAATTTCAACTTGGAAATTGCTGTGGCAGAGGAGTAGAAGTGAAAAGATATAAAAAAATATACATTCTTTTTTCCATAATCAGTGTAGATTGCTTTTGATCACGGAGTAAAATTGCCTACAAAATCTAATGATGACTTCAAAAATGCTGAAATTTAAGCAATGCTGCGTTTAAACTATGACAGTTGGTGCCAGAAGTTACAAGGTTTTTTTTGTTTTGTTTTTTTTTAAAAAAAGTATTTTGTTTTTCTCTTAAGTACTAGCTTTGTAAATTGATTTAGGTACATGTTAGGGGTTTCTCTGCAAGTGAGGGAGCAATTCACTGCACAGACTCTGGTTTCTGTCATTTAAAATCTGATTCTGGAGTAAAAGCATTTTTGTGAAAGTCATGAGATCAGAATTAGTTTCAAAGCTGGCAGCACTGCAAGTATTTTTCAACGTGATTGTTAGATGAAATTGCATTAGGAAGCTATCAAATGTCAGTTGGTGCTGCTGTGATGCTTTGCAGTAGCTTGTGAACATTTCACAGGTTGTGTTTTGCTTGGACTCATGATTTTGGAGCTTCTGATTTGCACTTCTATAACTTCCTGGAGGTAGCTGCCCAGCAGATTATCCTCTGGTATTTTTGTTGTTTGGCAGATGTTCCATGTCTGAGAGAAGTTCTCTCCCAAAGTGTGTTGTGTGCAGCACTTAATTCCTGACTGATGTGGCTTAATCTTGCCTTCCTTTTACTTTACCCAGCAGTGAGGGTGGCTGGGAACTTTAAAACTTGGAATTTGAATGGTTGAGCCACAGAGTCGAGTTCTGGTGGTTTCTTCTAAGCCAAACCTACTCACTTTTTGAGTGCCAGAGGGATTTGATTTGCATTTCACTGTCTCGGATCACTTTTTCCCAAACCTCTTGTAGATTTTGAGTTGGAAATTAAATCATAACTGAAATTTTGTGGTTAAGCGTCAGAACTTGTTGCCAACTCCTCTGAGAGAAAATTAATGACTTTATGAATACTGAGGGTTTGATTCCTGGATAGCTGAAGGAGAATTAGCTCCTTGTGACTTTATCCAAGCCCTTCATGAGTGCCAGGGAAAATAATATATAACCTATTGAAAAACAGAGTGTATTTTATTAGACAGAGGTAAATAAGCTGTTGTATGCTTCACATTTCTGCCTGGGTGTATTTTTGGTTTTCAAAATAAATTTAGTGTAGCAAACTGAGCAAGTTTTTTGCAGTCATTCACTTTAAATTAAACCAGAGGCAGCTTAGGTGTGTTTGTGGTGTTTTGTTTTCTTTTTTTTTTAAGAATGATGATTGTATTGATCAAAATGCTTGCTGAATTGATGCTAACCATAATAAAATGTGATATCTGTATGTAATTGTTTATTGTGGATTATTTTAAATCCCACACTAATGCACTTACGAAGAATGATTATAAAAGATGAATCGTTTGGGGAAAATTCTCTATTGCTCCACTGGATTGCTTTCTCATACTACCTATTACTGCTGTGCTCCCTGTCTTCCTTTGATCTGATGCACATATTCTCAGACGTGCTTACAGCATCTCTGCTGCGTTAATGAGCAGTGAAATAAATGTTGATTCCGAGGCACCTCCCGGGCAGGCCTCAAACTACAACCTGTCTGAAGTTTCCTCACAGCTGATATTTTAATATCCAGATATTTTAATTCAGCACCTGGATTGATGCCCTTCTCTCATTCATTTCAAATCTTGTTAACTGGAAGCAGCTGGTGAGACTCCTTGGCTCTTACAGTCTGAGAAATGTGTATGGTTTCTTCAAATCTTATACACATTTTGGGGTCACGTGAAAATGTGGCAAATACTGTGGAGATGGTATCTTGTAATTTAAATCCAGTGGATGGATGACGGATAATTGCTTAAGTACAGCTCATTCCTGGTCTTTAATTCACTGAATGAAGTATGTGTTTCTAAACAAATGCTAATGCTTCTCTTGTGTTGAAGTTTGAAGTGGATTGACTGATATAACTTGGTTTTCAAGCCTTGTTTCAGCTGAAAGCAATGCAAGAGATTTTAATTAAGAACAAAAACTTAGTTCCTATTCAACTGTGCAGGTGCAGTCACTGGGGCTCCTAAAATCTTTCTGATGTGTGGTTCATAGTGCACGTTCAGACTACTTGGAATACAAGCTATTGTCTTTGTGATTTCCAGGTTAATCTTGATTTTAACAGAGGTAATCATAATAGCATGTTGTACTTTGCATCTGTGGATTCAATGGCTTTTGACTGACTTAGAGCTGTAAGGGTAATTTGATGTCAAGTGAATGTCAGCTGTGTATCTTTTAATTGTGCTCTATTATAGAGGATAGCACACAAGAGGAGGTAGAAGGTAACAGGGGATGGCTCTGGGGAAGATCTTGTAAGAAGAGGGGGAGAAGACTTCAAATATGGGAGAGCAAAGTAGGGAAAGAAGGATGGGAAAGTACAAGCAGAATGCTGCATGTGAAGAGTTATTCTTCAATGATGACGATTTTGACTGCAAGGCACAGATCCAAGGCTAACTGCAAGTTGCTCTTTGCGGGCTGCATTTTATCTTTCTTGTGACTGTTGTCTTTGATACCTAGATGAACAGAAGAAGAGGCATTCTTGCTGATAGGCCTTTTTAAAAATTAAAATTAGGGTGAAATGGATGTGACATCTCTTGGTTATGATGTTACCAATCTTTTTTCTTCTAGTTAACAAGCCCACCGGGTTGTGGCAAAACTCAGTTTTGTATTACAATGAGTGTTCTGGCTACGCTGCCTGTAAGCATGGGAGGACTAGATGGGTCTGTTATATACATTGACACAGAGTCTGCATTCAGTGCTGAAAGGTAAGATGCAAAACTGTAAAATACACACTTTGAACTTCTCTAGCACTTTTTATCTTTGAACCTTCATTTATTTTCTGAGCATCTATAAAATAAATACTGTGGCTATTAAGCATTCATCTGATATATGCAGTTACTCTGTAACTTATGAAATTGTTTGAATAGGATGGTTTGCTTACCTTCCTGATTTGCAAGGTGTTCCAGGTTCCCGCTGTGCAACAAGCTGGATAGCACTCTTTCTAATTTAAAAATGGTCTTAGCAGTCCCAAACTGAAACATGTTGCAGTTTAGTTTGTGAAATTAGCAAGATTTTGAAGGGGTAAAGGCCCAGCATTTTGAGCAGCAGTAATTTGTATGTTGTCTGTAATTTATGTATTTTTCTATTGCAAAAAAGCTGTAACGTTGTAGGTGGTGTCTGTTGTTCAGCTTTGTCAGAACATGGGCACTGGAGCAGTAGATGGAATGGCCATAGTGATTCTAGAAATCAGAATTGTTTTCATCAGTTTTGTAGTAGTTCAAGTCACCTCTTCCTACCTAGCTATTAACTGGAAATGCACCATACTTCTGTAGAAAGTCTGAAAATGCTCACTTTTCTAGCTATGCCTGTTGTCTGTGGGTAAAAACACAGGATTCAAACTCCTGTGAACTAAAGCTGAGAGCAGCGATGGATTTTTCTATCCTGTGAATCTCTGCTCTCGTAGCAGGGAATGTGTTCTGTGCAGTTTTTAGTTTCATCGTGACAAGTAGGATTTATCTTTTAAAGATCTTTGCACCTACATGGTACTGTGTAGATAATACTGTGATCACAGCAAAATTTGTGTGTCACTCAAAGGCAATTCGTGTAATATTGTTTTCTTATATGTATGCCTGTTAGAAACTGTAATGAAGTTTCATTTCTTATGGACCACTGAATGACTTTCAAATTGAATGATTGTCACCCAAAAGGTTTACATAATTAACTGTGCAAGCATAAGGAAAAGATTCCGTCCTTGGAAGTTCAGGACAAGTTTATATATATATATATATATATATGTATATATATATTTATATAAGCAATGTATTGAATGAGTTTCAAGTTACACTGAAAGTGCTTGTTCAGAACAGATATATTAACATTCAAGCCTAATTGTTTTAAAACTCAAAAAATTATTAAGAGGTTGATGTTTTTTTTTTTTTTTTTTTTTTTTTTTTCCCTGAAGTGGCTTTTATTGAAAGAGGCTTAAATAAAAAGATGTCTGTAGACATAACTTTCTGGTTATCCGCTAGGTGTCATTCTTCTCAAGCATGTGGGCTGCAGAGTAAGGCAGCTTAAAATACAACTAAGTATTTTTTGTTTCTGTTCTCAAATCTTCATATAGTTGGAAGGGGAAATGTACAGTGCTCTGGATTGTAAAATGTGTCTAAAATCTTGGATTCATCTGTAAGGACCTAGATAAAATTGCCTTGTGTTCACAGGTGTGGGACTTCTACTAACTAATAGGAAATTAGCAGACATGATAAAATGTGTGCTTTTTGGGACTTTGATTTTATGTATACAAGTTGATTGGAAATGTGGACCTCTCATCTCAACTTCTTGTGTAGACTCTGTGCAGGGACTTATTACGTCTTTCCTAAATGTACCCTTGACTTTAGCATCATTTGGAGGAGAATCTAAGTGTTCTGTTTTCCAGTATTTCAGTCTGCTGCTCAAGTAAATTTCCCCTTTGAAAAAGATTTCCCATACTACATGGTATCTACTTATCTTTCAGAGCTTTCGTTTGTTTACTTTGTGAAAGCTTGATGTCTCATTACCTGCACATGATTTTTTTTTTTGTTATGCCTTTTGTATCTTTGATAGGTTGATAGAGATAGCAGGAAACAGATTCCCTACTTATTTTGACTCCGATGAAAAGCTATTTTGCATGACCCGTAGCATTCATCTGTATCGAGAGCTGACCTGTGACAGTGTACTGAAGAGGTATCCTTTTCTAGATCTTCAAGGGAATGGTGGGAATGGATTTTGGCTGGGTTGTCTATGATAATATATCAAAGCTCTATGAAGAGTAATTCATTACTTGGAAGCTTTTATGTTGATAACAGTGTGGTCCCCAAAAAGGAAAATTGCTACTAAAAGACTGGCATTGCTTTTCTCATTTTGTAGTGCTCCACTAATCTGCTTGATGTTTTACAGTTTCTGAGAGAATTTCTATAGAATTTGAACATCGTAAGCTTTTAAAGAGGAATGTTTGCCTGACAGATCTGGTCTTGGTTTGTGGAGATATCGTAGTGTTAAGAGTTATGTTTGCTGTGAAACAGAAAGGAGGTATTGGTCTTTCAGAGTGCTGCTTAGTTTCAGAAAGACCTGGACCACTCCAGCAGTTGAAGGAAGGAATTGCTTAGAAGTCATCATCCTGAAGGCAATGTTGTATTGTTGTCTTGTTAATTTATGTTGGTTTTTGAGCACATACTGTAATGAAAATGAAAGTTGAGCATCAGAATCTTCTTGTGTATTTTGTTAGAGGGAGTATTGTAAGAATAGTTTCTTCTAGTACGACTTTATCACAGAGGAACTATTAGCATATTACATATTAAGTTTGCCTTACCATCTTTGGCATATAGAAGCAGATCTGACTTTCTGCGTATGTAGGCAGCAGTTATTTTGCTGCTACTGTATGCGAAAGGCACTGTCTCAATTCTCACTTAACTTGCTGTCTGTGCCATTCAGAGTTTAGGGAGCAGAGTGTTGCTAAGCAGAGTGTCTTCTGAATTTCTCTTGGAGGGGCTTGCCCTGGGTTATGTGGCTGTTGGAGCCTGAGATTCCTTTCTAGACCTCTTCGATGTTTGCAGATGTTAGTGGGGGCAAGTTATGAGGGAGAAAGAACGGTTGACTTAAGATTATTAAAGCAAACCTTGCTTTTAAAATAATTCCAGGATTATTAAACAGTTATATTGTATAATTAATGTTATTGATGGCTTTATTTTATTTTATTTTATTTTATTTATTTATTTTTTTTTTTTAGAATTAAGTCTTTAGAAGAAGAAATTATTTCAAAGAAGATTAAGCTCATAATAATTGACTCTGTAGCTTCAGTTGTCAGAAAGGAATTTGACACAAAACTCCAAGGCAATCTGGCAGAGAGAAGTAACTTTCTGGCTAGAGGAGCATCACTGTTGAAGTATTTGGCAGAGGAGTTCTCAATACCAGTAAGTTCTTCCTTTTTAAGTTTCTGCTTTATGGTTTCAAATAATAAAATGCAGGAAGAATGGAAATGACAAGATGGTGAAAGATAGGTAAAGCTCCTGCTACAAATCTTCAGGCTGAAAAACAGTACTGGAACAGGAAATAAATTGGTGTTGCCTGTATTGCCTTTTTCTCAATATTGACTTTAGTCTTCAAAATAGGCTTTACTGATTGTCTTTCCAGCTGTTGTTTTTCAGTGCTTTGTTGCTCAGTTTTCTTTTTAAATATCATGTTTTATTCTATTGGTATTAAATATCATTTACCCTGATGGTTCCCATCCTTTGCCTCTTCTACTGAAGCTGATAGAATCTTAAAAGTTCTGATACCCTGAAGTTTTGCAACTAATAATGCATGCCAGCTGATGTGGGAAGGAAAGTAACAACTCAATAAATCTGTGTGGATTTGCCCATAAACTGCTATGGAAGGATTTATTGTATCACAGACACACAGTGAGAGGACTGATTAAATCATTAAAGAGCACATTAGCAGATGCAAGCTCCATAAATGTAGGTGTCTTTTTGGGGCTGAGGTTTTTCTCTGTGATGTGATCTGTGGGTAATCAGAAGCAGCAGATGAAATGTGATTGACATTCAGCTGTAGGAAATATCTCCTAGCATAAGTAAACTTTGAGTCAGAGAGAAAGTGTTGAGATCCTGATTTAAACTGATGAGGTCTCTTCCTTTTGCTGCTTTTGAGAAATATACATGTCAGAGTTGTGGAACTGACTTGGCTGAAGATGAATGGATTTCCTTCTGCCATGTTCTCTTTTTGTGGAGAGAATTAAACCTTGCTTAAGTTCCTTTAAGTTCTGATACAAAAGATAGTGTCCTAGTTAGAACAACTAATGAATATACTGCTTACAAAGCCAGGGAAGATGTGCCACATTAAGAGTGTACACTTCTGTATTTTGGGAAATAAGATGCAATCCTATGAAAAAGGAGATGGGTTTTATGGGTAGATACTGTTTTTGTCTGATTTTTTCTTTTGGAAACCCCTGTCCTCCTCACCTGCCTACCTCAATTAAAATGGTAAAGCTGAGCTGGATTGCAGCCTCTTGACGCTTCAGGCTGCTGCTCTGCTTACATTCAAACAGTGTTAATATTTACAAAGGTCTTAGAATTGGACAACAGTAAGTAGTGTAAGACTGATTTTTATTTCATCCTACATAGAGAGGAAATGAAGGTTGAACATTTAAAGGTTTCAGTTACATTAAATCTTGTCTGTTTGCTTCAGGACACTTGTAATGACTGGTGTGCTGGTTCTCTTTTTGTTTCCCATTGTGAATGCTCTGGTAAGGAGTCTGGAAATCTTGGCCAAGAATACGTGCTTCTGACCACAACTATCCTGTATTGCTGTATGAGATGTTTTACCTTTTGAGTAAAATCTTTAAAGTCCTGTGTACTGTTCTAGGAAGGCCTTGGCTCAAGATGGAGGTTACCACAAATGCAGGTCCCTAGGCAGTGCTGAGTATGTGAAAGATGTGAAATGCAACAACAGTGTTATGTATCTACAAGTGTTTGTACATACGTAGAAGTAAGTCTATCTTGTGCTAACCTCTGCTATTTCAGATCAGGGACTATCTGAGGTTTTTACTGTAAACAGCTGTGGTGGAAATGTTCTTAGATGTTCTTCCATATCAGGAGGGTTATAGATGTAAACTTGAGACTAAAAACATTAGGAAGGGTTGCAAATGATTTGGATCATTAATAAGTTGGACATGTGAAATATGTGAAATATGTGACACTTTATGGCGGTGCTAGTACACCTAAATATTGAGTTGAATGGCAAATAGTTGTCTGAATTGAGGGCTCTGAAAAAGATGTGGAGGTAATAAATGATAGGACTTGAGGTCAATTCTTTAGATTGGTGAAAAATTGAGTAGGTGAGCCAGGGAATTTGAAATGATGACAAATAAGGGTCCATAGACTAGCCTTGAAAAAATTAGGGATTAGGGGAGAGGAATTTCAGTAACGAAGATGTAAGAATCTTAGTTTGTTTAGCTTGGCTAAGTGTTAAGGGTTTGTTTTCTGTAGTTAATATGTACTTGAGAAAATGTATTTGATAGAAAAAACCTTGTCAGCTGACAAAGGTATTCTACAGTTCTGTGGTTGGAAGCTGAATCAAGCAAGTTCAGAGTTCAAGAAAGGGATGTGTTCTTCATAAAATAATTAATCACTGTAATATGTTACTAAACTGAAATAGGTTCTCGTCACCAAGTATTTTTAAGTGGATTTCCCCCTTCCCCATTTCCTGAAAAAGAAATTGATTTAGAAAGGCTTTGATTTGGGAAACCCTGTACTACCATGTTATGCTGGAATTCAAATGAATTTTATGTAGCTCTTAATGTTGTAAATGCTCTAGCTAATAATGATTATGTACCCATGTTGGGCATGTGCTGTACTTCATTAGCAAAAATCATAGGTTTTACTGAATTCAAAGGGACCTGTTTCATACCCAGGTAGCTTTATGTGTTATGAAGTATTCCGGGGGGAGGAATAAAAACCAAAACATATCTTACTGCCTCAAAACTTATGGTCATCATTCAGTAATTTGTCTGCACTTCTTTTTTTGGTTTTTGAAATAGGAGTTTGGTTGTGAGCGTGCTGAGGAAGGTTATTGTTACTAGTTGCTCCAAAAGCAGACTGTATTGTTGAGCAACATATAGGCTGCCACTGGGAAGTAATACTTCCCAAGTTCACTTGAAAATTTTAAATAATCTGTAGCAAATGAAATTCTAATTCACTTCAGAAAGTGAGGAAAAAATATTAAACATGTTAATTGAAAGGCTTTAGCACTGAACTAAACAAAATGAGAGTATTGTTGAGTGTGAATTTTTGCGTAGTGAGATTTCTTTTTTAATGCATAGACAGCATAAATTAGCTCTTGAGAAATGAAATATGATGCCCTGTTTCCTGTTTTCATTCCTACTTCTTCTGAACATTGTAGTAAATTTGGTTCCATTCTAGGTGCTTTGAGTGGTGCCAGGAAGAGAGGCAGCATGCAAGCAAGGTTTTGAGGGCTGCTGGGCTATTGACAGCCTGCCAGCAAGCTGTGCTGATGACTGAACAGTCACTGAGTCTATTCCCTGTGGGAGTTTATGTAGTGGTGTCCCTTTCCATCCTTCCCTGCACATTGCAATGACTGAGAACTGTTCTGCCTGGATTGGTTGAAACAAGTCAGTCAGCCCAAAAGTGATTGCTGGAAACGAAGGAAGACAGTTTGACTGTAAATCAAATAAAAAGCCCCTCTATTTTGAAATCTAGTGAAGATGTAAACGTATGTGAAAGACTTTTGTTTTAGAGTGTTGTGTATTTGAAGCATTTAGATCTGAATGTTTTCTGTGACAAAAATTCTGGATTGATGCTGTCTGCCAGATGGCATGTTTAAGCAGCAATCATCAGTCCTATATCTCTAGTTGTTTCCCAAAATCCTTAGCCCTCCTAAAAGGAATAGGAAGCAAAATGTGTTCTGGGTATTACTTCTTTTCTTTTTCTTCCATATTCATAGGAAAATATTTATTCAGGAAAAAATAGGTCAGTGTTCATGCTGTTTGGAGAAAAAAAAAATGGTTCTTCCATCTCAGTGAAGAGCTAAAACTGAATAACAGTATGACTAGAATTGCTCCTGAGTTTTAGCTGCTCAGCTCATAAGTTATTATAGAATCTGGTCGTCCTGTTAGTAGATGACAAAATGTGTGAAGCTGACTAGAGATCTCTGTGGAAAAGCACTCAAAAAGCAACACTTGCAAAACCGAACTGCCTTAAGTATTCTTTTAAATGTCAAATTGAGACCAGAGATTAAACTTGCTTTGCAAATCCCTAAGGCTGATCAAAAATTACTGCACTGTCTGTACTTTATTCTTTTGTCTGGGTTTTGTCCTTAGATCCATGAAGAGAAACTGTTATTGTGATAAACATAGTGGCTATCATTACCAGTAGCAAATGTATAATGGTATTTATCTTTATGCTGTTTTGAAGAACATGAAATAGCTTAAGAGGAACAGCTTTCTCTTCTCATTTGGAATTTTACAGTGCAAATGGAAAGCGAACTTCGATTAATTTGTGATGGTTTTTAATTGCTATGTGAAGTTAACAGTAATGAAGGCCTTTATTTCCACAGGTAGTACTTGGTTCCTTTAGATGCAGTGTGCTCCATCTGAAAACAATGAAATTATCACTTTATCAGTATTAATAGTGGCAGCAATTAAAGCTGACAGTTTCTTTTGCTATTCTCAATTCTCGCACTTCTCATTTCAATACTTCCTGCTCAATCATGTATTTTGTCAACTTTAGACACAAGGTTTTCATTTGGTATGGAAAGCTGAATGTTCTGTATGCTTGGTTTTAGCCTGTGAGTTTTTCTTCTCAAAATCAATGCACTGAAATGCACAAACTACTTGACTTCTGCAATGCCTTTTCTGCTGTCTGCTGTTAAGTGTGTTTAAGTGTATCAACTGAGCTTCCTGCAGTAAGGTTTCTCAAGATTTGAAGTGCTTCTGTTGTCAAAAAGAAGTGATGTTGGAGCTGTTAATTTTCATTCTTTATAAGCAGGTATTTCCATTGGGTGCCATCCTTGGTTCTTCTTTGCTTTGGCTGCTTGCATCTCTGCACCTTTATCTCTGTTGTGCTAATTGAAACTACTGGTTCATGGAGAGCTAAAGGGATTCCAGAAGGGAAGGTTTGTGGAGAGAAGTTGTTTACCAGTTCAAGCAAGAAAAATTGTATTAATGAAATTAATGAATGTTGAGGAAAAATTTATAGAATTAGTTTTCATGTTGTTGTATGTAACAGTGCTGTATGCAGATGTTTCCAAAGCTGTGGAGATGCATTAGATTTCTAGATTCATTTGTCTGCATCTGGATCATAAGCTGCTGAATTGCAGACTTTGTATTTCTACTTAGCTGTGAAGTGTTCTTTGCATTACGCTGTCAGGACTATGGGAATGTTAATTGGGTTGTCTTTGC